GTGTGCACCAAGTTCTAGTAATTTTAACTTTAAATATGAATCTTTTGACCATTCAAGTCTTATCTCCAGAATTATGCTTAGAACGATTTAGAATTATTTCAATTTGATTGAGAGCCGTGACTGGATGAGCACTGAGCAGCTAGACCTTAATCCAATTAGATATTTATATACTTCCAGGGGTCCTTCAATTACAGGGATAAAAGTAGGTTGAGGTCAAGAGAGATAAACCATACGGGTAGAACCTGGAAACAGGCTTCTTTTAATTCTACAATAAAAGCTCACATCAATTTCGGTAGAAGGAGATCATTCATTTGGAGTACTGTAATGCAAAGAAAGTTATTTCAAAAGTGTATGCATCTTTTGTACTGCAGTGTACTGTCTCTGGGCGGTAATGTAAACACAAGACGGATGTTATAGCCTGACATGGGATCATAGAGAATAGAATATATAGAGAGGAATTAAAAGAATCTCTCGGTATGAATTTTGTCAGTCCCTTTCAGCCTGAAAGGGAGTTCAAAGTGTACAAATCATCTAAATGTTCACAAATTATATGCAGTAGAGTACATTAATACAGTATGTTCCCTAGACTTTCCATTTCAATTTCGAATTTTTTAAACTGTTAAATAAAATTTATAATGAATTAGGTGAATAAAAACATCATTTGATTTATAGTTATAACGGAAAATCATCGTTTGTAAAGTGGAAATGTGAAATGGTCATTGGTCAATTATGGAACCAGCCTATTTCATAATTTGGTTTTCTTTTAACAATAATTTTAGATTTTCTATAAAATGATATTCCAGGGCCCAACAGGTAATATAGCATAAATATGTGAAGTACACCTGCAGTATGGAAACAGTACAACAAAATGGCCGTTTTACACTTTTTTCTAGTAAATTCCTCTCTATATATTCTATTCTCTATGCATGGGATCCATCTTTCACATAAAAAATTAATAACATATTCTTGTCATAGAAAACTATTATGTGAATTATCAAAATTATCAAATTTAATGCTTTTAACCTCCTCGGATACTAAACGAACACTGATGCATCTATTCTTGTTTACAAATTCCGCCCAAAGAGAACTGGTTTCAATATGTACGCAGAGTATACACGACCGCAATTAACTTTCCTTGCATTACACCCTTGACTGTACCATTTTGCTTTATGAAGTCTGTATTTAATTGTACTGTACGCTTGCTTTAGCTGATTAAAAGTCCGGTCCGGTACTTAAAATGAACCGGAGTTTACTGTGATCTGTTTATTCTTAGCTCTATCATCATGTACTGCGTACTTTATCCTCAACAAAGCTTTCGGTGTGTACTGCATGCAGTAATTTGCAGTACACTGACCGAAGAAATAATTGAGCTTAGTGGAGAGTGACTTATCTATTCATTCGCCTATTTATCAATCTATTCTCTTCTCATCTGTTCCTTCACGCATTTATTTTCTTATTCACGTATCTATTTATTCATCTACTCATCTATCTATTCATTTACTCATCTATCTATACATCTACTCATCTATCTATTCATCTACTTATATATCTATTCATCTACTCATCTATCTATTCATCTACTCATCTATCTATTAATCTACTCATCTATCTATTAATCTACACATCTATCTATTCACCCATATTTCAGTATTTATACCGGCACTGTAGGGAACCACTAATTTGGGTTTTTGAGGGCGTCTAATTTACGATTATTTTCGTGCTTTGTTAAGTAGCAACTACTATCTGTCTATTTACATTCTAATTTTATATTTGTGTACACTAAACATACAAACCTTTCCTTCTCTTCAACACTGTTTTTGAAATTGTTCTTTGAAATAACTTTGATTAGAGCTTGCTATAGGATCGTGGTTTTCTTTTTGTCCAGACCCACAAAATTTATAATTTTTTTTATTTTAACCATGCAACATAAGAAATACGTGCTAAAATCATGTGATTTTCATTTTTTGTTTGCCTACCTTCTCTCAAAAAGTTTTTTTTTCGAATTTTCTATCAATTATTTCTGTTATTTGGATAATTTTCAAGCATGCCTATAACATTTTTTTTAAAGGTTTGATTCTTTCACATTTGGCAACTTTTTTATCTAATTTTAGCAGTGAGTACAAACCTTCGACTCGTCAAAAATCTGCGGATATTTTGAATATTGCTCTATTGTATATACTCATAAAAATGTATATATTACATGATCTGGTCCAATGAATTCCTTAGCGTGGGTGTAAGCGCGGCTTTTTAATTTGTACATTTTTTACCAAACTCAAGCAGAATATAGGATTTCAGTACAGGGGTTAATCTACTCGATGAAAAGAAAAAAAAATATTTTTATTCTACTTCATTAATGAATTATGATTTATTTACTTTTAATTTTTTATATTTTTTAGGCCCTTAAAAAGTTCAGCTTTAGACATGTGGTGAAAAATCCAAATTTTGGGGTTTTTAGGATTGCGCGGTACACCGCGTTAGAGATATAGAAGACAAAATATGTCAACTAAAAAGGGCTAAAATATGGGCTCAAGATAAAACAACGTTTTGCCGTATGTGGGACTTTGATCTTCAAAATGGTGTAAACTTCACTTCAAATATTTACCCATTTTCTCTTCGGATATTCTTTATTAAAGATCCATGAATATTCAAGGGAATGTTCAGACATTTCAGAAAAGGATTTATCAAGCAAATATGTTTTGCAAAAACGGGGAAGCAACGCGGTCAAAGTATGTACAGTACCATTAAATGAGGCCCTAAATGAATACAATAAAAACATCATAGAATTGGCTGATACATCGAATTAGTTTTAGATTGATCCTGTTTTGTTTCAGATCCTTTTCATTTTTAAGATTTTCTACTTTTAGTGACATTCTATTCTATTAAAATACAGGAGGATAAACATTATTGCTATTAGCTCCAACCTGACTAAATGAAAATGCAAAATCTATATGAAATTACTTGTAGGACTTTGCAGACCTCTTTGCTCCTCTAAGTTTGATTTTACGGCCAAGTATGAGCACAGACCATTTATTTGATTAAATATAACAAACTTAAAACACTTAGTTGTTCCTTTTAATAACCCTGTAAAAAGTAGAAGTGTTTAAAAATGAAAACATAACATACAAGATATTTCTGTCCTAGATTTTTCAAAACCTGCATATATATACAATATTGATTAATTAATAATACTTGCATATTATTTGTGTTACTTATTGTAAAGTATATAAGGGTGCTATAATAGGGGGACACAAGCCGTTTAGTAAATCTGCATGTTATACTAATATTTGTGTTATTTACAATACAAGTATATTCATTATCATCAAGCAACTATATTAGTGAAACAGATACTTAAACATTTTCAATTTACAACCCAGCAAAAAATAGAAAATACACTAAACTTAAACCAAAGAACATCTGAATTACAGTGAATTGTATTTCTCCGCAAACAGCTAGATTCTCAAATCTTTTTTCATTTTTAAACTACAAAACTGCAAAAACTGCAGTTGAAGCCTATTCAATTTGGGCCCAGTTGGTTTATAAAAACTTGTTGGAGTTTATCATAAATACTCCCGTCCATCTGTAGAAAGGAACTGAGTTTTTGCCACGAACTCTGATTTTCTAATTCCTATATCTGTGCAACCCTATGTCGTACACCTTTTATATTATAAAATATTAATTTTTATATATCAAACATTTGGTAACATCTATGTCTATAAAGTAATAATCTTTATTTGTACGTCGTTTTATATTTTATCATAACTCATCAACACCTTAACCGACTAGCCTCAAATTTAACTCGGTAGAACCATGGTAGTGTTCTTAGCTTGGCTCTCGACTCAATAACAGGGATCGAGTAGAACTTTCTGTTCCATGTTTATCTACTTTCTTTACTTTTCCACGATATGAGAAAGAATTTTTCCTATATACTCTGATTTTCCAATTTCTATATATGTGCAACCCCATGTTGCAAACCTTAGATATTTGAAACTATGAAATCTGTTAGATCAAATTATCAAAGTTTAAAATTTGAAAGGTAAACTACAGGTTGCAAAATATACTGATTAGAAAATTTGAGTTCCCTTGGACAACATTTTATGAAAGGAATTGAGTTTCTGTCAAACTATAAATTATGTTAGATAAGATAGTCTAAGTTTGAAATATCAAAGGTTTACACCTACAGGTTGCGAAGATATAAGGAATAAAAATTTGAGTTTGTGACAAAAACTCACTTCCTTTATCCTATAAATAGAAAAGTTGCTTTAGCTTAAAATGTAACTTGTCTTTATAAATACAAATATATGTACATAAGGGTGTATGTATATATATATATATTTATATGCATGTATGTGAACTAGATATCATGGCCTAGATAGAAGAGATAAAGCAGAACATACTATAGGACACATGGATATATGGATATATAACCCCTGATCTCTTAATTCAAGTTAGATAGATAGATAGATAGATAGATAGATAGATAGATAGATAGATAGATAGATAGATAGATAGATAGATAGATAGATAGATAGATAGATAGATAGATAGATGTAATTAAAGATAGTTAGAAAAACAATACATTTATAAAGAGAAAGATTTTTTTCAGTCTTGACAATTTTTTTTTTTGATCTAATATTTGAATAATCAAACAATTGAAGTCGCATTGTCTTGACCTTTTAAAGTCCTTTCTGATATTTCAAGAATAAAAGATGTGCACTTTTTCCCAAATGAGTTCAGATTCATCCATGAATAAGAGCATTTTACTTCAAATATTTTTTGGCGCAAAATCTGAAAAATGCATAATTTTATTTGAAGTAAATCACGCTTTTACATTTTAAGTTCAACATAGTAATAATACTTTTAGCAGATTTTCCTTCCTCATGATGTACATATGTAGCTAACTGCATTTATTGGGTGCTGGCCTATTCTAGTGTTCCCCACATGCGTTTTCATATGGTGAAGGCAAATATTTATTTATTTCTCTGAATTGAGTCCCGAGTCTACCCTCTTCTCTATCTCTCCATCCCACTCTCTCTCTCTCTCTCTCGCTCATCTCTGTATCCTGCGAGGATCCTCATTTTCGCTCTCATTTTCAATCTAACTCTCCGGCTGCCCCTTGCCCCCTGTACAAAACAAAGAGCAGACTTGGAGCACGATATGTCGCTTAAACCATCGGCTTCCCGCGGCGCAGATCCCCGTCCCAAGCGTGCCTAACCAGCGCGCACTGCCCGAGAGGACTCCGCGGAAATGACCCGGACCGGGCGGTCAGGCCGGAGCTCTAGGTCAGGCGGTAGTTCACCGTACCGGACCCAGACCTCAGTATATCACGTAGTGACCCGTGCTTTACTCAGTAAGTGACCGACTGCCCAACTCTGAAGACGTGGTCATAGGAAACTCTCTCTCTTTCGATCTAATACAACCGAACACACACACACATGTGTGTGTAATTGGCCCACATGCTACACACTGTGCCTGAAATAACAAAGATGAACTTGACAACAGATAAAGAAAATAATCAGCTTAATCTGCTTGTACTACACAAACTCGCCGTATTTAATAAAGGTAAAAACTACAGACAAAAAAAAAGATTTTTACTTGTTAAAATTGTAAAATTAAGAACTGGCAAAATTTGTTATCTCCATCAAAAAGATTTTGCTAACTCAATCTGTCTTTGTTATAGCTATCTCTTTGTTTGATCGCGGAAACGTTTTTTGTGTTTCTTTCATCCTTTCTCTAGACCTTGTCATTGAAAAAATTAAATAAAGAAATATATGCTTTATCTAGAGCACTTTGTTGCTTACAAGTTGGTTAGTTACATTTTACGGTTTCTGTGTTAGATAACAATGTATTATCATTTTTTACCAATGTAATAACATTTTTTACAAATATAATTACATTTTTTACAAATGTAATAACATTCTTTAAAATCCCTCTGGAGTAGTGCAGCTTCAGAAAGTAATTTGAAGGAATTGTTCATAAATATGATTGAGTAGGTTGGGAGAAGATTATACAATATATACAATGAAAAATTCAGTTTTTGTTGTCTTGAGTGTAAAAATTAAATTTTTATTTTTATGTTTCTCAATTTCTGAAAGGAAAACTAACAAACCATTTAATGTAAAGACGATATAAGCGGGAATTCTCTTTTAATATAAATGTTACAGGTTAAATGACATATTGTTTAGCCCTTTTCTTCAGGCCAGAAGTATACCGTGCGAATCAGTTAAAATGCAACCAACCTAAAAAGTTTTAGCAAAATCTGTGCATATGAAATATCATAAAATAAATTGAGCTTTGAACACATTTGGCATAACAAGTTCCACGACCTAGAATGTTGAAAAGATGCAAACTGTTGAGAATTAATCAATTACTTGCACAGTGCATCTTACGTTCCATATTCATGAGATATAATTCAACACGATCAAACTAAGAACTATACCCCAACATCTCTAAAAAACGAAGCACTATGAATCTTAAAGGGGTAATATAGACGTAATTTCAATTTTATAAAGTGGGGTTTACCATTTACAACGGTTCCCTTTAACCTTTGTCTCGGTAAAAAAAATGAAGGAAATTGTCAGAAAACATTTTTCAGACAGAAATCTTTCTATATTTTGGCTCAGATAGAAGGGGTACTGTTCTGAATCGGACATGGCTAGGTGTTAATGAGGGATTTTATGAAATTATATATACATTCTCTTTGAAGAAACTGAGTTTTTGCAACAAACTCAACATTTTCCATCTCTTTTCTCTATATCCTTGCAACGTGATGGTGAAACAACCTTGGATATTTTAAATTTGGATTATTTGATCTATCTGAATTCATAGTTTAAAAATCAAAGTTGTACATTGGGTTTCAACGATAAAGGGAAAAAAATTGAGTTTGTGGCAAAAACTGATTTCCTTTATCACAGTTTTAAAATCAAGCATCCAAAATAAAACTACTTTATTTATGCGTCATATGATAGTGTCCGGATTGATTAGGGCTTATGAAGATAAACGGTTAGTGTCAGAGTTTTGAGTCATTTTTTGATAAGGATATATGACGTTTCTGGACTTTGAGTTGAGGGGAAAGGAAGAGCGGAGCAAGGGCCCAGGGGGGGGGGTTAAGGTTAAGGCTACTGTAAACTTTTAGAATTTTAATTGAAAGCTATGGCCGCCATTGCTGACCAAGTTTTTCTTTAAATGTATAAATACATATATCTACATTTACAATAATACATTTGTATTCTGAAATTTGTAAAAACAGAAGACAGAAAGTTTTTAATGTAATGTTAAAAAAAATATGAAGATTATTAAAACATATAGGATTAAGTATTTTTCAATATCGATATGTCTAGCTTTTGGTCTTCAATTTAAGCACAGAAATATAGACAAGCTGCAAAAACTGTAAGTGTTGGAAAATTAATTTTATGATTGATTAGTACGTATATTCTACTAGATAGATAGATAAACAGGCATACAGGCTTGGATGCATAGATTGATGACCGAATATCTTCTTGCCAACTAAGGTTTGGTCAGGCTGGGAAGGGTCGGAGGAGTGGGATATATTGGGAGGGAGAATTAGTAGGATTGAAAATACAGGAATAAATCATTTTAAGTTTGTAGCGGAGATAAAAATGTAAACTTTAAAATCTTTAATTATCAATTACCTTTCTTTAGACAATGCCTTTTGTCCCNCTTCAGTAGCCTGATGGGTTGCCCCTTAATTTTTGACACATGTTAGCTCTCAATATGTTGGCCATGAATCAGGATTTAATTGGAAACGAGACCCATTGGGCCTTACAGAGAAAACAAGAGGCCCCGTCTTTACTGAAATTATTTTAGGAATATTTCTCGTTGTTCTTTGTTAGAAGGTTCCGGGATAATTTTTTCAATATTTATTTTAAGGTTCGGAGCAACGATTAAAAACTAGGCTCCCACGGTGAATTATTAACCTTTTTTCTTCAATTTGTGATATCATTAAGAAAATGGGGGGGGGGCCAAGGAATAAAAGCTATACCGGGTGTACTCAATGTACTGGTGAACTGATGTACCCGGTGTACTCGGTGTACCTGTAGTTATAAGCAACTATTTAGATCAAAATCAAATAATGAGTAAATTTAAAATTCATAACATGGGCATTAAAGGACATGGTGGAGTTGAGATATTTATACCTTCAAGGTATAATGTTGGGTAATCGGAAATAAGAAATAAGAAGTTTAGAAGAAAAGAAAATGCAAGATGAAATTTTTGTGTGTTTGATTATCGAGTAGATGCATGTATTTATGTAGACTGTAGAGTCTATCAGGGTTCTAGTATTTAATCACACAATATAATTTTATTCCAAAGAATACGATAAGGACAGAAAGTAGGCAGGAAGGCAAAGAGAAGACAGTAAGGAAATGTCAAATAATAACCTTAGTCTTGTATCTTGTATGTGGTAACGGTTAGATAACAACCTGAGAATTGAATCTCTTTTAATTTGGTGAGCCAGATAAAGGGGATAACTCAAGTCTGGTATCTGATATTTGGTAAATACTAACCCAAGTCTGGTATCTGATATCTGGTAAATACTAACCCAAGTCTGGTATCTGGTATCTGGTAAATACTAAGTCAAGTCTAGTATCAAGAGATGGAATTATACAGCTAACTATTATATATTATACACATATCTAAAAATTAGTTCCACCTCATTCGATATCTCCACTCTCCAGCCCCGTCCTTACCGGACCATTCAACATCTTCAGCTCTCTACCCATCCTTACCATTCAATATCTCCAGCTCTCTACCCATCCTTACCATTCAATATCTCCAGCTCTCTACCCATCCTTACCATTCAATATCTCCAGCTCT